ACACACACACACACACACATTTATTTATTCACAACCTAACACTTCTCACTTCTTCCAGTGCCAGCATTCTGCTGCCGTCACAGACGCTTCCTGCCTACAGTACTGTAGTGAACTCCCCTCTGGGACCCTGGCTTCCACCTTCACCACCCCCAGTCTACAACCCACACCCTGTTTGTCAATGCCCGAGTCAGATCACATGTCTTCTCTGCTCAGAGCCCTCTTGTGGCTTCTGTCTTGCTCAGAGACAAAGTCAAAGTCCTCACCACAGCCCTGCTGACCCTGTGAGCTCTGGATCCTGCCGGCACCCTCATGGTGTACCACGCTTGCTCTCCCCACCCCAGCCACACAGGTCTCCTCGCTGATTCTCAGGCACGATGCCTGGCAGTCCCTTCTTGGGCCCTTGCACTTTCAGTTCCCTGTATCTGCCTGCATCGCCTTTCCCTCCGTAAGCTTGAAGGTGGCCACCTTGCTTTTCCCACTGCTGGATCTCCAGCCCCCAGAAAACTGCCTGCCATAGAGACCAATGAGAATTCATGAATGGGCCGGGAATGGTGGTTCACGCCTGTAATCCCAGCACTTTAGGGGCTGAGGCTAGAGGATCACTAGAGGTCAGGAGTTCGAGAGCAGCCTGGCCAACATAGTAAAACCCTGTCTCTACTAAAATACAAAAATTAGCCGGATGTGGTGGCGCATGCCTGTAATCCCAGCCACTTGGGGAGCCTGAGGCAGGAGAATCACTTGAACCCGGGAGGCAGAGGTTGCAGTGATCAGAGGTCGTGCTGCTGTACTCCAGCCTGGGCAACAGAGCAATACTCTGTCTCAAAAACAAACAAACATTGGCCGGGCGCGATGGCTCACGCCTGTAATCCCAGCACTTTGAGAGTCTAAAGCAGGTGGATCACAAGGTCAAGAGTTCGAGACCAGCCTGGTCAACATGGTGAAATCCCATCTCTACTAAGAATACGAAACTTAGCTAGGCATGGTGGCACATGCCTGTAATCCCACCTACTCAGGAGGCTGAGGCAGGAGAATTGCTTGAACCCGGGAGGCAGGGGTTGCAGTGAGCCGAGATCTCACCACTGCATTCCAACCTGGGTGACAGAGCAAGACTCCTCTCAAAAAAAAACAAACAAACAACAAAATAAATGAAGAGTGGAGATCCCAGGCTGGTTTGGCTGTGAGACCTCAGTAAGAGACAGCTTTCTCTTCCATTGTATGGAAAAATAGCCCCAATTGCTGCCTATGCTGTTATTAGGATTCAACAGGCTCCTGCCAGACAGGGCCTGGCACATACTAGGTTCTCCATAATAGTGAACTGCTCTTATTGTTAGTATTGCTGTGTGACCTGGGGTTAAACAGCTTGACTAATCTGTGCTCTGTTTCCCCATCTGTAAAACAGAGCTCTAACTCACAGGGCTGGCATGGGGACTCAATGACCTAACTAACCTATGATGTCTGGCACATGTCTGCGACATATGAAGCACTATGCTATGATGTCAAACACATATAGGGAAATGCCAGCCTTGTGGGTACAGACCTGAGAGAGGAGGACCTACGTTTTAGCAGCTGTACCACTCCCTGTGGTGGGCCTCTCCTCTCTAAAGCCTAGTGAGGACTAACTGAGCTGAGTGACAAGCGTTGGGTACCCAGGACCCTGGGGCCAGGCACAGAAGGGAGGTGACTGAAATTGTCCTTTTT